TTGATCAATAATAATAAAAGTATTATTCAGTCTGGGCTTGGTGCATTTTCTCAAACTGAATCAGAAGCCGAAAAGCGTAAAATTCGTGCAGAGCCAACATAACAGGATTTCAACATATACATGTTACTTGTGTTGATCTCTCAAAACTATCTTCTTTAATCACATACTTTAATCATATATGTTAAAACTATCTATTGGTAGAGACTTCTTGCAATTAATAAAAATCTTATATTTAAAACCAAACCTAATTCTCCAACTAGTTCTTGTGTTAACAATGGAAGGCATATATCCACATAAAATTAAACTTTCACAACATCTACAAATTACAAGGCATGTAGCCATCAGTGCAGTTGCTGATGATTCGTTTATTATAATTATATACCCAAAAGCATTCCTTGACAATCTCTGTCCAACATCTCATAAAAGTTCTTGTATCACATGCCACCCACCAAATTAAAACCAAACAGGAATTAGTAAATATTTGATCGAGGGTTTGAGACACAAGCAGGAATTACAATTCCCCCAAATGATGTATTAAGAGATAAATATGTACTTCTGCAAGTTAAGCACAATGATCATCACCTTCCACCCAAAGTTAATCTATTTGCAATCTTAAATATTATGACTTGCATTGACCACAGCAATTGCAAAACTAAGAACCAGAAAAGACTGTACCAAATGAAAACTGCAATGCAGCCAGTCGCAATGGTCAAGTAGTAAATGTTAAAACCTCTGGTAACCTCAATACACACACTACATCTGGTTTTTAATATAAGAGTTAACTAGGAAGTAAATTTGATCTTAAATAGACAATCTCAATCTACTTTATCTATCTTCTTTTCATAAAATATCTCAATTGACTTCAAGGGGCACCTACTAAACTAACCTTTGCCACTAAACTAACATCAGAACAGAACAAAATCACCTACAAACAATCCAAAAATAGAGCACCCATGATCATCCTACACACCTAACTTAAATCACCAACACACACCAACCAAAAACACAGCTTTTCCATTGATTAACTTGTGAATCCTACAACAAAAACAAAAGCTTTGCAATACTAAAGGCAAAAATGATTTTCTGATTTCTCATTCCCAAACAAATACACAATTTGTCAAGAAAGAGAGGAGAGAAGAGGAAAGAAAGTTCTAGACTTGAAGATTTGTGGAGATTCACATGAAAGAGTTCACTAATGGTAACGAAGAAGATACTTCATCATCAATGGCTCATTCATTCTTTTCCAATGTCTTTTCTCTCAACCATATTGCGTAGGAAACTCCTCACCCAGTTCACTGTCTTTGTTTCTGATAGCTAGGGTAAGAGAGTCATTTCAACATTCTGAAAATTACATTTAAGTTCCTTTGGGACTTCAAAACAATTGTGACATTTCAGGGGACTTTTTTGCTGTATATTTGGTTCTGTGGGATCTTAATGTCATTTTCCCATTTTCTTCCTAGACGCCATTCATGTTCCATGCTTGCTCGTTAAGCAATGCTATTCATGCCCCAGCTTCGCTGCCTCCTCGTTTATTCAAAGAGAATTGCACTAGGTCTTGCAAAAAATAAAATACTAAAAAAAAGTTTCTGAAAATCTCATAATTGTTTTAGATCCCAAACAATTTGACTGCAATAATAAAAAAGTTAAAAAGACCTTGTCACCCTTAATAAAGACAGAAGTACTAAAAAAAAGAGTTGTCAATGTAGGTTGCGAAAATTGTTAATGTGGATCATGATAGTTGTTAATATTACCACTTCACTTATCAAATTATTAGCTACTATAAGTTTAAAAAAAATATGATTTCAAATTACATAATGACAAGTAATATTAATATATCTTATGGATTAATACTTTTTGATAATGATGTGATAGAACATTATTATTAAAAGTCAATTATCAATTATATAAAATTACGAAATCACTTGTCATTAGTTAACTTTTCGTATTATAAGTGATAATTGATTTTCAATAACGATATTATATCATACTATTATCATCAAAAAGTATTAGTCCACATGATATGTTAATATTACTTGTCATTACATAACTTAAAATCATGTTTTTTCAAACTTATATCAGCAGATAAATTGATAAGTAAACCAATAATATTGGCAACTATTACTACGTATCTTGATAACTCTCTTTCGGTACTTTTTCTTCTGTATCATGGGCAACAAAATATTTTCATCTTATATGTCTCCTTTGTCTCCAACCCACTCACTTGGCAACTTCCTTCACTTAATGTGTGTGTCTAAAGGGGTGTTTGGCAGCCCTCAAAAGTACTTCTCAGAAGCACTTTTTCGCAAAACGAGACAAAGTCCTCCATATATTTACTTCGTAAATCGTAAAAGCACTTCTGAAACCATAGTTTGGTTTCCATCCAAACACTCCCTAAGTCTATATATATATATACATACATTACATCTTGTCTTTAATATAAGAATTAGTTAGAAATTGAATTTGTTCTTAAATATAAGATCTCAATCCATTCTGTCTTTCATCCTTTTTCAAAATATCCTAATTGATTGCAAAGGGCACCCACCAAAAAATAATTTTAATTATCCAATGCATGTGATTGAAAAAGATAATTTCGAAAAATCAACATATAGTTGTGACAAATAACAAATTTAATTTAATTAATTTTCTTAATATTTTTAAATTGATTATTTAACTTTTATATCAAGAACGAGAGGTAGTATACACACATAATTCTACCCACCTCAAATCACCATTAATCAATTAATTTTCTTAATATTTTTCTATAGTTTGAGCTGATAAAAGCTCAGAATTGTCGAGGTTATTGAGGTTGGATTGTGTGAGGGTGTAGGTTTGTTTTCAGGCTTATTGTCGTCTTGTTTCTAGGTTCCCTCGAGGGTCTCCGATGATTCTGCTGCACAATCTGGACTGAAGTCGCCTTCTTCATCTTCTTCTAAGGTGTTCTTTCTGTCTTAAATATAAGACTCATTTTATAGTACTCATGTGATCCTAAATATAATATTCATTTTGTAGTGTAAATTAACTACAAAATAAATCTTATATTTAGAACCAGAGAGAGTATAATTTAGGGAAAATTGCAAAAAAGACCTTGGAATTGCAAAAACGCAGATAGGGACCCTTGACAACTTCACTTTGGGTTTTGACAACTTCAGGGCATATTATTCTTGTCAAAACCCAAAGTGAAGTTGTCAAGGGTCCCTATCTGTGTTTTTACAATTCCAAGGTCTTTTTTTGCAATTTCCCCTATAATTTATATTATAAAATGAGTTTTATATTTAAAATTAGAAAAGTATAAATTCAGACAAACAAATGAAGAACAAGTCAAAGCCAAAAGAAGCTCCCATCATAGTTTCTCATTCCCTCCTTTTACTTTTGTAAAATCTAAAGATCACCTGAACATAAGCACAGCTTCCTCCTCTCTTATTGCCTGTTACTTTGTAAAAAAAAAATTAATTAAAATTACTTATTTCTCGTAAACTCTCAAAATTACTCTCAATAAAGATTATTAGTTAAGGGAGTTTAGTCAGTTGGTTATGAAATTTCACAGTTAGTTAGTTAGGGATGCTATGTAAAAATAATTGACAATAATTTAAACATAATATACTGTATTACAAAAAAAATCCTAAGGAATTGCTTCTGAAATTTTACACAATATACTTGGTCAAACGAGTGGTTTATCGCCGGGTAAGTTTCATGTTTAATTATTTGGTGGTTTTTGTGGTTAAAAGCATACTAAGAATTTAGTCTCGAAATCTCATGCATTCCTCATCTATCAATACTTCCGTCGAACAACCTTTCAAATTAACGATACACACACACATAACACTATGGAATAAATTTGATAGCATCAAATACGTAATTAGCCGAAAGTACCGAATGCCAAAAAGTTTCAAGATAAATTTGGATATTGATCATTAGGATCGATCATATACTAAATAATTCTCATATAAAAATATTAAATAAGTGATAAAAATTAATTTTTTTCTTAAAGCATTATCCATCAACATATTTTCAAAAAACGAAAACATTTTGTTTGTTAGAATTTTTTGTGGCCAAAGTGTCTGTTAGAATTGAAATCAAATGAATATTATAAGTATTTTGGTGATATATGTGATAATAATTCCATAATAAATCAAATAGAGAGAAGACCATCAGATTCTATCTTCTGCCTCCTTCCTCCCTAAGCAAACTCCACACTCGCAATTGGCAACTTCCTCTTCATTGCTTAATTAAAATGACCTTCCTGTCCCTTGTACGTGTATATTACTTTATATTATGTCGTTTTCATTTGCATGTGACTTAATTTCCAGTTTAATTATTAATCAATCTTACGTGCTCCTCTAGCCCAGAAAGTAATAAATCATCAACTTAGGTTTATTAAAATAATAAAAATAATAAAAATGACTTGGATATGAAATCAATATATTTATATATATATATGCTCTTATATATAATATGGATTCTTGGTGACCTCTCCAAGTTGGAGATAATTTTAAAAATTACCTTTTTCCATTCCATGTTATAAAATCCTATATTAATAACTTATATGAGATTAAAAGAATTAGTCAAATATAAAAAATAATAATAACTTTCCAAATTAACTCTTTGATTTATGTCACAGCTTCAGTGTATCATCCATAACTCACCTGAGATGGTCAAAAGTGGCTCCAACGACCTCGAATTGACTTTTCTATGTGGGCCCCATATCCCCCTCCTTGCTTCCCACGCAATTACATCCACGTACGAACCTACTCAGTCCCTTCCTCCTCCATCTCTGCTGCTACTCTCTCTCTCTCTATATATATATATATACACACGTTGAATCTGACATATAGGCCATCTTCATAATTGCTCTGAGCATTAATTCCAAGCATAAGCCATCAGAGCGGAAAAGGAAAAGGAAGGAATCAAAAGCTTCGATATTAAGGAAAGATGGGTTTGTCTGTAGGGTTTCTGAATTGCTTTGCTTCTTCTTCTTCGTCATCATCTGCTCGTGTGGCTGATCAAGGAAAAGCTAATAAGAACATGAAATCAGAATCTTCTTTAACAACAAAATTGGCAGGTTCTGTAGGTTCAACCCGCCCCCATTTATCCACTGCTAGCCTCATAGATCCCTTGAACATGTCAATCTTTGCATTACGCAGAATTAAAGTTGCACCCGGGTTCATAAGATCCACTGTAGAAGAGAACATAAACCATGTCACCGACCATTTATGTGATATCCTCTTAAAGGCACGATGACAAAAAATGAAGGCAAAAACTTTAGAACATTTGTACCTGAGAAGGAAACATTATTGGCATAATAAGCAGACAAGTATCTCCATGAACGAGGCTAATCACACATCTACTGCATAACTTAAATCACGGCACAAATCTAAAGTAGGTAAAAAAGGACAACCAGAACAGTCCAAGGCAAGCCACTTTCCGTTACCAACTTGACGGCACAAGCACCGAGGGCAACTGACTGGGAAGAGGAGTCAAATAGTATTTTCTTAAAAGGACAAAACTTGGGGTATATATAGTTCCTTCACTACTTCCTTTAAGATTCTCTGACACGTTTTTCTCACTCAAAAAACTGCTGACAAGTTGACAACAATCCAAAAACTTTGCGCTGGTTTGCTCATCACTAAAATCTCATGACACACCAATTGAAATGGCAGAAATGTTATATTTCAGCTGGGTTGAGCAGTCAGTCCAACATAAACCAATTGTAAAAAACCCATTTCAACCTTGTTATTATCATTCTGTTCAAATTAGAACATCCAAAAAGCATACAAAGGAGCAAAGAAATCTATAATGTTGACTCATATAGTGGGAAAAAAGGGTCGCTTTGCCTCAGCGCTGCCAGTAGTAACTGAGCATGATTGCCTATGCCAAACTCAATGCAAAACCTTTTAGACAAAGTATATTTAATAAATTGAACATATAAAAATGAAAATCTCTTAGCTGACAAATGAAATTACATGCACAAGCAGATTACATAAGATTTAAATTATATATCCATAAAAATGCCTATTTTGATACAATAAAACAGCGATCTTATATCTTTATACAATAGAAAACATAAAGCGCATCTTAAACTCACATTTTGATTATCGTATCTTCACCCTTTAAGTTATTATATAGCAATTGGTAATTATTGATTGCTTCATTAACATAATCCAGGGCTAATCGATTATCTTTAAATAAAATCAATACAATAATTTTTTGCAATCCAATAACTATAGTGAAATGAGCTTAAGTACTAGGCTAATGTGATTAATGGTATCACACACAACCATACCAGTGCAGCCCTACTGCTTAAACGAGGCAAATATGCGCCCCAATAATTCAGATTACTCTCATACCAATTAGGAATGTTACTGAAATGCACAATTAATGCTGCCGTAAATGATTTACGGATAGGCCTCACCAAATATATTGCCAACTTCAGCACCGACCGACAGCTCGTATATAGTCACTCATACATTTCCCAAAACAAAAACTCATCTAACACTTTAATCCATTTACAATTTTTTTTCCTAAAATACCCTCAATTCTTTTCTTTTTTTTTTTAACCAAAACCACATAGCAAAACTACCTATCATGGGAGGTGCCTAAGCTATAGTGGTTGAATGTTTACTTACTCACATTAACAGAGACACTCCTCACATTCTCACGACTAAACCCCAATCTCAATAAGGTGGGGCCCAAGACAATTAAATAATTTTCCTTGGGACCAAAACCAAATGGGAAAATTGCCTCAATTCATTTAAATACCAATTTTTTTAAAAGACCGAAAAAAAAAAGTGAAACGTATTTTGTAAAAAAATAAAATAAAATAAATTGGACAAGAGGGTATGGTGATTTTCGTTTCATTGGGGAGGTTTGCGTGTCGCTGTATCTGTCCATTTGTCTGCAAACATGCACTGAAACACACACACAAACACACAAGCGGATGAAAAGCCACAAAGACTTAAAAAATTATCAAGATTTGAAAAACTAATTCGCATACCGGAATAATGCCAACAAAGCAATCGCATAAAACGAAGAACACATCAAATAAGACCGTAGAGTATCCCCGTCAAACAGGTTCACGAATTCAAAATCTTCTCCGACCAAACACATCGACCGAAGGAAAAAAATTGCAATCGTGAATGAAAAAAACTATTCTTATCGTACCCTGTTCGTTACGGGCCGTGAAAATAATGGTTCCGGTTTCATCACCCACGAGACACTCGGCGATGCGGGTCGGACGAGAAGGCCGAGCAAGAAGCATAGACGACCGACCAACCCGATTGTTCATCGACTTCACGGGCTTAGAGCTGACCACCTTCACGGTTAGCGTGTGGCCACTGGTACCCGGCTTTAATTGGTCCACCTTGATAAACACCGGCTTTCTCTTCGCCGCCGCAGTCCCCGTCGTCGCCGGTGTTTCCATGATCGGAAGCTTAAATTCCCTTATTCGAGCACAACGTTTTTGAGGTTTCTATTTTGCAGGATACAAAGGAAGACTTGCGTGAGGGAAGTGAAGGAGATGAAAATTAATCGATCACAGCAAGTGTTAAACCCTAACCCTAGTTTCCCATTTGGGAATTTCATTTTGGGCCGGATTGCTGATAGTAGTGATTATCTGAAATCGTTACTCCACGGTTTTAACTGAAGTCGTGGGCTTTGCAGGCCGGCCCATTACTTAACAACTCCAATGAGATATTAACAAACTAAGACTTAGGTTTACCAAAAAAAAAAAAACTAAGACTTAAAAAATAAATGATGTCAAGAGGGGAAAAAAGGAAGAAGAAGAAGCCTCTATGAACCCTTCCTTGTCATGGTTTTAGAGAATTGAATCTAATAGAAAAAGTTAATCTCTTACAGCATAAAAAAATTAATATTCAAATTCATACTAGAAAAGGTGTTCACATTTTATTATTTTACTCGTTTGTATTCCTCCTTTTAGGTACAATATAATTTAGTTATTTTGTCAGAAAAAATGAAAAAAAAAATTTGTATCAAAAAGTGAAAAATTATTTTTTTCATTATGAACGGTCTTTATTAATTAATTATTTGTAATTAAAAATATCTGTTTTTTTATTACGTTTAAAAATAAAATTGTCACGCTCATTTTTCCATGAATAAGATTTTATTTATTCTAAAAATCATGTTTGGCTACCGGTAGGTGAGAAGTGAGAGCTCAATAAAGATAATTTTGTTTAGGATAATCTGATAATAATTTACCAACTAACTTACAACCTTACGAACCTGTACACCTTTTCTTGTCAATAGAAGTCAGTTTTGAAGGTGTAATGTCCTTTTCTATAAGACCTTCTCAGTTCTAAGAAAAATTAGAATATTATTTTTAAAGATACCCCTAATAAATAATGAATTGGAAAATTAGCATTTATAGTGTAAACAATCGAACGTCGACCTCTATCATATGCATTTGCCATAATGTTTTATTGGATTTGATATGAATGGCATGATTTATAATTAATTGTACTGTAAAAGAATTTAATAATATACTCCCTCATGTTTTGATAAACTACTTTCGATCCTAATTATAAGAACTAGTTGACTAATTTGAAGAGATTAAGAAAATAAATTAAATTTGTTATTTATAATAAATAGGTGTCCCTTTCCAAAAATATCCTTACTAATCAAGTATTTTGATTAGAACTACCATTATTAGAAGGATTACTATGAAAAAAATATACAAATATAAGAGACAAAGTGGATTGAAGTCTTATATTTATGACCAAAATAAAAATCAAACAAGTTCTTACATTAAGGACTTGCGGTAGTAGAATTTAGTTGGGAGTTAGATTTGTCATAAATATAAAATCTTAATTAATTGTGTCTCACACATCTATTATTTTTTTCAAATTAGTTTACGTACAAATTATAAATTGATACATAATCTACTATTACACTAGGGCATTTTAAAAAGATCAAGTTATATATGTTATAATTAACTAATTTATCTCACTTTTTAATCTACCCACATTAGTAGTTGTTATATTAAATATATGAGGAAATTACACATATAAGTGGCATATAGTAGGCCACATCATCTTATATCCTATTCAATAACACAAATCTAATGTTGTTTGGGAATCAAGTTATATGTAGGAATTTATCTAAGAAGTTTTTTTTTTTGGTAGGGGGTTATTTTGGAGACATGTGATGTGATTCACTTAGTTTTGTTTTTGTTTTGCCGCCTAAGAATGCCAACACAATTGAACACCCAATGTGGGGCAGTTTGGGGAATTGGGAACAGTTTTTGAAACTTAGATATTAAGATTTATTAATTTTTTATTTATTTACCGAATAATATTATTTAAATAAATGAAGGAAGTGATAAAACAAATGGAGGAATATGGATCACAATCTTTAGTGTGTTACAAATCACATGGCAACAGCAATAATGGAGTTTAGGAGTAGCATGTAATAGTAAGTGGAGAGGGGCAAACGTGCTTATCACTAAATACCAATGCAAAGTTGCCATATTTCTCTAATCCCACTCACATGCTTCCTTCTCTTTCACAAATGAAACTTTTACTCAATTTTGCATTATCTTATCTTCTCTTTGCTTTAATTCTTTATATATCCAAAATATCTAATCTTCAACCTTATTTAACAAGTATGAAATACTATCTATTCCATTCAATCTAATTCTAATCACCATTGATAACTATTACCACATATTCTAGTTTAAAAAATAAAAATAAAAAAAGGTTTTGAGTATACGAGTTATTATATCATTGGTCCATACAATTTTGATTCAATTATAACTCGGTGTTTAAACTTAACTCGATGTGGTTCAATTTCTATGATTTTGATGCAATTAAATCTCAATTTCTAAACTTTAACTCATCATAACTAATTTTTTGTATTTTTAACTATTTAAAACTTAACTCTTTAAGTTTCATGAAATATATAATTTTATTTTATAAAATATAATAACTACTATTTTAAATCATTAAATTATAGGGATTGAATTGTAATCGAGTCAAAACACTAGGAAATTAGGGTCAAGTTACAAAAAATTCAAAACTATATAAGGTAAAAAAGATTAATTTTCATTTGTACCAATTAACATTCTTATTTCTTCTCTCTTGTCTTCTCCGTTAATGCCACTAACAAGAATGGCTGTTATATTCTTTTTCCTTATAACTGGCATGAATTGCTTATATCTTTTTTTTTTTTTTGGTACAATTTTGCTTATATCTTTGATTTAAGCAGAAATTGTCTTGTACGTGACAAAATTTAAAGAGATGCCCAATTGTTCAAAGTAAAATAACTCCTCCTCATATTTTTATTATATTATTCGAATACAGAATTATCACTACATAGTTCTATATATGAAAAATCAATATAAATGCAATGTAATTTTGTATAGAAACAATCAGCCCGGGGATCTCTCGGTAGACCTGATTCACTCGTAAAAAATGTCACATCAGGACAAGGGTCACAACTATTTATTGCTTATCACATTCAAAAGTCCTAAATAATTCCATTCATCCATAAATTTTCTGGGCCAGGAGGGCCCGACAACAAAGAAATCACACGCTTCATAGTACTCAGATGCTTGCCCTCCCGAGAAGGATAGGCACAAGCTTATAAGCTTCAGGGACCACTTAGTCATCAACGAATCATATACACAATTGTCCCAAGTTACCATACCAGCTCACTGTCTTAGTTCATCAGATTCAAATTTTTGTTTGAGAATTTTATTAGCGTGCCGACACTTTCTGTATATAAAATCCTGCAGAGCACTGGTACTTTTTGTATATAAAACCTTATCAGGTCTTCTGCTCAATAATATTTTCAAACAGTAACTTTTTAGGGTTTTTTTTTTTTTTTTTATTAACTGTCATTTTGTGTGTTCTGATTGATGTTTTGCTGCTGCAGACCAGATCAGCAGGCACAAGCTGTGTCAATATAAAGCATATCAACCAGAACCATTTATACATGGGACCTCTAACTCATACCTGTTTATGGGTTGTGCTGGAAGACAAACATTTTTGACAAGACATGTCAAAAAACATGGCATGTCCTGCCCCTTCTGGTTTTTTTGTCACCATGTCCAAAAGGTCTTCACGATGACAATTTTCATTCAAAATATTAACATTGCAATTATGTAGTTCTCTTGGAAATAGTTGATAATATAATTATCAGATAGCAGATTGTTTACTGCTCATTCCAAGGTTATATTTGCTTTCTTGTTTTAAAGATCCAAACTTTTGACCTTGCTAGTTTGGTTTTCCCAAACCCACATTTTATCCGAAACAATCATGATCATACTTGTTTACCATGATCTTTGAATTAAATCCATGTTTTGCAACCTCTAATCCAAATGTCTTATGAAAACATAAGATTCAAGTCAGTTTGCGAACATCCCAGATAGGGAGAAAAGCAGATAATGGAAATTAGGACAAAGATAGTTTATAGATGCCTTCTTAGATTATAAATTATTAACATCTACCAAAGCAGAGCAATTTTTGCTTAGATTCAACCGATTTTAATCATTCTATCAAAGTGGAAACAATTCAGTTCATGACAAACTCAACTTTAATTTATACAAATATATGCATACATCTGTAATATGGTTCAAAGAATTACACAAAGGAAGGGAACATGGTATCCTATACAATCTCGTGTGTGTATGAAAGAATTAAAAAAATGATCTTTTCTGCTGTGCATTACTGTGTACTCTATCATTGACTTATGGGATCCCCTTTGCATAAAGTATGTCTAAGCAATAATTCATATTTGTACACCTGAAGAAAGTGGCATGCTTCACAAGAAAACTCTGGTTGAACTCAGCCCGATCGATCAACATCTAGGCGCCGATCAAAATTGTAGGAGCTGCAGAAATTAGCCTTCTCTTGCTTCTTCACGGGGCAGTTTTTCCATACTAGTAAGCTTGGTGTTAAATTACAAGTGAGATTGAGCTCGTGAGGCCTGGCACATGCATTCAGGGACCGGATACTTGGTGACATCCCTCCCAGGCCTCCGGAGCTCCGGCTGCCCTAAGGACTCATGATGAAGCTCTTTGATGATCCTGTTAAACTCTGCTTCTGGAAGGGAAGAGTTCAGAAAATGGGGCAGCATCTGTCGTTTGTTTGGAGTGATAAATTTCTTGTGCCCTGCATACGCCCGGTGACCCTGCAATCACAATAACATTCACTATTAGATTTTTTGTGAATTAGGTATATATTAGATTTGTCTTTCTATCAAAGTAGTTTAAGTAAGTCTTAAAAGACTTGGCTTAATGATATATACTTTTAATTTATTTTTCAACTAGTAGACGTGGGACTTAATATAATCTAATATTCACAAATTAGGAACCTGAATTTTCAAACCAATACTGCTAAAGTTGCTTGGAAGACTTTGATAGACATCCAGATCATAGCCAACATTACAAAGGAAAACTCATTTGCACAGAGAATTTTATGTGATGATATGAATTTCTCAAGTAATAAGGGAGTAAATGATAAGTATACCTGAAGCATATGGCCCATGTTTCCTCCATGAGATGCCATGAAGACATCACTCTTCTCAGAA